CCCCCCAAAATATAACTAAAAATTAAAACAAAATTGACTTAAAAGGTGTGTTCATAAGTGATTGGGTCCCATTGTATCACAAGTGATACAAACAAATTTCACAAGTCATTATGCTTTAATATATCAGTAAAAATTTCTTTTTTTGCTGTTAACTAGTAAAACGTACATATACAAAGAGAAAGCATATTTTAAAAATAGTTTAATATTTGTATATAAATAAGAAAAAAATACTTACTTCGACGACGTGCAGACATTTTGTTTTGATTCAGAGATGCTACTAGAAATCGCTATCATGGACAAGTACTGCCATCTGTTGACTAAACGAGGAAAATATATGAGGTATTTCACTTTGTATCTTATGTGATACAACCGGTCCCAAATTTGTTTTTGCAGCTCAGCCTTCACAAAAAATTATGAAACTTTTGTATCACATGTGATACAAGGGAACCGAGGAGGATAAAATAAGAATAATAACATAGAGCAATATATATATCTACCGTCTGCACAACTAAAATGAATATTAAATATAATATCAAATACGGTAATAAAATAAGACAATTTAATATTAACAGTAAATAATAATCTGGTATCGCTAATATTGCGTTCAGTGATAGAACTAATAAAATAAAGCGGAATTCTATATGAACAGGAAGTAATAATCTGGTATCACTAATATTATGCTTCCACACGCCTTTTTATGAACTAATAAAATAAAAATTACGCACGATTATTCGATCTTGCTCGGTGCCTCCAAAATAATTAAGACTGTAATACTTCTTTGGCGATATGAAGCAACTCCAATGATGGAACACAGCAATAACTTTTATTTAACACTAAAAAAATGGCGACATACAAACAAGAAGAGAAAACATATTCTAACATTTAAAAAAAATTACATTCTTCGTGCGAGAGTCGCACGTGGCACTCGAGTCTGGTTTCAAATATTGCCATTCACAAATAACTTAATGTTCATCTATTTAAATTATTTAAACTACAAGATTTTAATACTATTTAAAGCTGTTACACAGGAAAGGATATTAAGCTAAGAGGCCAATTTGCTGTTATACATACCAAAAATGAAACTCAGAATTACTTCAGGGAGCAGACAAAATGTAAGTGACTCGAAAAGAAGTTTTAAAGAGCAAAAAGATAGGAGTTCAGTTTTTGACGTTTCGAAATACATGCTAATTTTTTTAATTGTTTGAAATTTTTAATAATATCTCTAACTGAGACAATTTATGATATACATATTTAGTATATTTATAATACAGAAGTTCTTAAAACCATTTTTATAAATGATGTTACTAGCTCCGTATCCTATACATTAGGGATTAGCGTTTGTCTCCAGTCAAACGACGAAATTTTTAGTAAAAGTAATTTTCGTTAATTTTTAGGATTAGTTGAGAGATAACACCGTGACTTAAAACATCATGCTACATGATATCGTTATTATACTTAAGGCTTCGTTACATGTTATAAGGTATTTCCTCCCTCCTCTCAGCATGCCTTCGTGGTATAACTGTTAGCACACTCAGCGCGTATTCGAGAGGTCCAGGTTCAAGTTCCGGTGAGAACATTACTCATTTCTCATATCTCCTGCTTTAAAAAAAAAAAAAAAAAAAAAAAAGATTCGACAATGGCGCCCGAACTAAAAGGTGTTGGATGACGATTCTTCATCACCAGGTTTTGGAAATTGGGTCCCCAAATCCCCACTCGCCCTTTAAAGAGGGGTATTTCATCCCTCCTTCCAGCATGCCTTCGTGGTATAAGTGTTGGCACAATCAGAGCGTATTCGAGAGGTCCAGGAACGAATCCCGATGAGGGCATCGCTGATTTTTCATGCGTCCTGCTTCAAAAATGTCAGTGTCTCTACAATTTAATCATTTATTTGCTGCTATTTCAGGCATCATTTAAAATGTTTCCTGTACCTAGTACAGAGATTAGGTTATTTAGAGGCCGGAGAGACAAAACAAATGAGCAACGCCTTCGCCGGGAATCGAACCGCGGACCTCTGGAATACTCACACAGCGTGCAGACCACCACACCACGAAGGCATGCCAGGAAGGCGGGGAAATACCTAATAACCTAATGTTCCTGAACTTACTAAAGAATAGACCTAATACTGGAAGCCTAAGAATTGTAATATGTAGATGTTTGACTTGATACTATTTGTTCAAAAATTTTGTTTTGACATCCTAGAACGGAACTTTGAACCCCTGTTATTGCCTTATTACTATTATTTCTACAGACTGTTCTCTGAATGAAACAAAAAGTGTATTTACATGAAAGGTTACTTAAATTTTTCATTTTTAAGGAAATAAAAGGGGGGATATAAAAGTAATAGATAATGATTTCATTCTCCTTCAACGAAAAACGCACAACTCCTCACAACACTTCCCATATTTTAAAGCAAAGGCGGAGGAGTCACAAATATCTTTTAAACATGGGGAGGATATGCAAAATTTGTTTTCTGTGTTTCAAATGAAGATAGAAATATACAGAAATTTTGTTGTTGTTGAAGAAAGCGGGCGTATGCCAGATCGCTTTCGATATCCTTAGAATATTTTTTGAAATATATTTCAGTTTTTCTCTTTTGCCTGAATTTACATCCAGAAATGAGATGTTTCCCATCTGCTATCAGTTTAGAATATTTTGCGTCGTTGCATGCATTTTTAACCATAATAATAAAACACAGAGTTTAGTCTTGCTTGTGCATAAGTGTCCGTATATTACATAATGCAGTTTTCGCCAATAATAATTTTTTTTCGCGAACTTCTTAATTTATAGCAACCAACTTTCCTTTATTTTTTTAATTGTAGAGGAACAGAAAAAAAAAATCCTCCTTCATTCTTTCAAATAATTTTAACGAAATCCGTAAACCACATTTGAGGTTGTTATCGCTAAAAAAAGATCCCAAATTTCAAAATGCGCTAATATATAATTTCATGTATTGCTTAGAAAATTCTGAATAAAAAAACTTTTTTCAGGTGTGCCTAGAAATACATGCACTGTAAGAGGATAATTTTATAGGTTATAATATAAAAAATTTTTCGAAAAATTATAAAAAATATTTAAAAATAAATCATAAAAAATGTGAGAATTATATTTGGATTAAGCTTAAATTTCGAATTCTGGAAGATGGAATGAAGAAAGTTTAATAAAAAAAAAATCTGATATGTACACCACATGACTTCCTTGTACGGAATATTAAATTATAAGCATTTTTTCTTGCATTTTATTTAAGCTTATTAGATTGAATTAAATCTACTTCGCCGACAGCGCATAAACCACAATAGAACAAATGCATTCTTTAAATTTCACTCTATTTGTTTACCATAGCGACGCTCTGGCGCTATGGTAAACAAATAGTGAAATTTAAACACTTAACAGTATTATATTTATATATATATATATAATTTAACACTTAACAATATTATATTTCGTTCATTATATTATGACATTATATATTATGTTAGAACTCAGAATGCACAAAATTTATATCATTTAAAGAATTATCTAATCGTTGCCACATGATCTATTCAAATACTATAATAAAGCTAGATCGATGTATAAAAGAAAATTAAGCAAACAAAACAAAAAAGAAAGAGTTTTCACAGACTATTGAGTACTTCTCATTCAATTTATTCAGTTCTCACTTCGCGGCAAGGCAAAAATACAGAAAAACTCAAAATATGTGTATTAAAAATTATGAAGTAAATCTTAAACGCTTATTTCCTCGAAAAAATTCCAGAAAGGATTAAGCATGATTTAATTCGCAATAATAAATGAAGGGCTTATCTTTGTTGTTGCGAAGCTAAGTTTCTCTAGATTGGCAACAAATCCACTATTCTGCTGTTTCAAATGTAAACAAGCAATGGCCGCCATCAAAAACATTATTAGGCTTAGCGGCACTTGAACAACTTTAAAATTGTTGATAATTCTAAAAATATTGCATACAGATTTACTAAAGGAATAAAAATCTTAACCGGAAGATAAGAACAAAATAATTTAACCATTTTCAAAGCAAAAAATGTACAATTTACAAACATATAAGAGTAAAGAAACTGAGATCACTGAGCCGGGTAACAGAATGTATATATATATAAATATATTTATATACGATTGGTGCGGCCGATTGCAACCAAAATACGAGGTGCACATCTACATGTATTAGCGGGTCCTATATAGAAAATTTCAACGTTCTGAGGCTACTCGTTTTTGAGTTATGCGAGATACGTACGAATTCTGAAGAGAATTAATTTTAAAGCAGTTTTATAATTTTTTTGAAGGAAAAGAGTCTTTTATTCTGTCCTTACGTACAGATATCACGCAAAAACATCGTTAAATTTCATTCGATAGTGGTCAAAATGGATATTATCGTTGAAATATGCTGCCTGAAACTTTTCGCGATTACAATACTTCCTTACTTCCTTTTTACTTCGTACAAGGAAGTAAAAAATGATAATAATGAATATATATCAAATTCAATTGACATTGAGTAGCTAAAATTTTGAGAGCTAATTTTTAAAAACGTACTTGTGCGATTTTTATAAAATTTTGTAGTTTGGCATAATTTGAGTCGTAGAATCGAAATATGAAAAACAATTGGCATGTCATTTCAGAAAAAGTCCGATTTTGAGTGAAAATAACTATATTAGAACGATGTTATATATAAATCTAATATATATATGCTAAATCGCGCTTTTGAGACATGAAAAACGAAATTTGAATTTCGGTAATCGGCCCAGTAGAACGGGAGATATAGAACTGTCCCCTTTTTATGCGCAGTGTACGTCACTACGTATGTCATAACATGGTGTACTATGTACGTCATAACATATCGTAAACATTTGCCTGACAAATTCCACATACAAAAATGCCAATACCACATTATAAAATAATTTAAATTTCATATGATTAGTTTATGTATCATTTATATATTTCCGCATATGTTTATTGTAAGGTGTTTCTTATTTTATATTTCACTTACTTTGTTTTAGGTGGATGAAAGGTTCTCAGTTCTAAGGAAGTACATATCCGGCTTGCACTTGGCAAACATTTTACTGCGGTTCAAATCAGCTAACAAGCCATTCAGAGAATTCGTTGAGGTTTGTTTCATTATATATATGCTAAAGTACATTTAACTATAACGTTTTCGTTTGCATGTTGAATGTAGTCAGTTCTGAAAAATGAATTACTAGAAAATAAACGCCTCTCTGCTGTTGTTGCTACAAGTATGAGCTGTTTGAGATGATCAAACCAACAAATTTGAATTGTTGCATTGAAAATTCGTATTTGCTTAAAGTAATAACCGAATGCATTTTTAACTGTTGCTTTAAGAAATAGGTCTTGTAATTAAATCTTTTGATATTGAAGCAACTTATGAGAGAAGAAATAAGGAAAATATAGTAACCGTATTTTTAAATATATTTTTAAACATTTTACATTCTAAAAAAAAAAAAAAAAAGTCTGATGTGTACACCACATGACTTCCTCGTACGACCTATTAAATGATGCGCATACTTTGCTGCGTTTCGTTTAAACTTAATACCCTGCATTTAAGTAGCGATATATTTGTCATTCATTCAATTCAGTTCTCACTTCGCGGCAAAGGAAAAATGCATAAAAACTTCAAAACATCTTCATTGGAAATTGTAAAGCACAGAAAACCATAAACCTCAAAACTGTTTACAAATTTAATCATTTTGTCTTCATGCCATACTGTTTAGGTACAATAAATATCTTTTAGCTTCTTTCCTTCATAGTGTTGTAATTTTAATGGCCAGGAGTGCATATTCAAATTCACTAACAACGGATGCATCATAAACGCACTAAATTATACAATTTAAGGTGCTACTTTGGTAGACGGTAGCACGGATGTTTGGCGATTTACGTTGGCGCAATTGTTGGCGCGGTTTTTACAATCGTCAGCCATCTTGAAAAATGCTATTTTTACGTATTTTACGAAGAGTAAAGTATTCGAAATTAAAAAAAAATAAATATAGTTAAAAATAATGTATTCATTTTTTGTTGAATATGTTGTTTTTTAAGATGGCAGGCAAATGTAAATAAATACATTTACTATGAGTATAAAATACTAAAGTAGGGTTAAATTATTACTTTCATATAGTAAAGAAATAGAATAAAAACACCGCTATAAAAACATTGCGCCACCGTTTAATTGGATTAAAATATTACTTAAATTGAATATCGAATTAAAAAATCATACCAACGTTTAAAAGAATTAAAATATTACTTAAATTCAAATCCTTTAAAATAAGTTTTATAGGAAATAATTATTTAACATTAAAACATATGTGGCAATAAATATCTCGGCAATTTTTGAAAACAGTGTATTAATTTTTTTAATAAAAATTGAAGTATACAATTATAAAGTAAAAAAATATGTCTTACATTTTTATGAGTATTTAACCTGCCGTATATTGATAAGTACCACAAAAAAAATCGGAATCATAATTTAGATAGCAATGAAAGAAATTTGAAAAATGTAATATAATTTTAAAAATGTAATATAAAAGTTGAAAAATGTAATCTAAGGAATTCAAAAAGATGAATAATAGAATTTTAAAATGGCGCAGTAATGCACAAATATTGAGTAACCAATCAGGGAGCTGATTACATCACGAATAGAATTAAAATTATTTAATTATTACACATAATAAAATCATTTTAAAAAAATGGAAAATTAAATTTTATTTTAATATTTAACAGCCATAAATAATGTTTAAAAAACATTTGATTTAAATTTATAGATATTAAAACCAATTACTTCTAAAGTAATGCGACTTTTTATTACATCATCCACAACACAAAATTCCATAAAATACCATAAACAATAAAATTTTTATTTCAAATAAAAATGCAAAATTAAATTGAGTTTTAATGTTTGGAAGCCATAAATAATATTTAAAACACGGAATGTATGCATAATAAAATGCATTATTTTTTAATAAAATGACAACGAAGTATCGGTTATCATAAATAACCTGTCTAGCAATGGGTTTATCAAAAGTCGTATCGCTCGCCAAAAAAAATCCGTGCAACCGTCTACCAAAGTAGCACCCAATTTAATATCGTCATGGAATACAACATTCTAAACCACTTTCGCTCAACACTTTAAATATTCCACTCCTTTCGGTTGCCTCATGCAAGAGGCAAAACTAAAAAATATAATTAACTGACCCGAAAAACATGAACTAAAAAAAAATTAAATGAAAACATTCATAAATTCATCACGAGCATGTGCTCTATTTGCGGGAGACCTTGTTTATGGATTATTTTGAAACCAAAAACATTCAAAGAATAACTGGACAGACAAATATCTTGATTTGAATCAAATAGAAAACATATTAAGTAACATTTTTTTAACGGACGGGCTGTTTATTTAATAATCATTAGCCTTGCGCTACTACAAGTCCCGGAAGTGGTGACCACTACATTATGGAAGTACCTAATAAGTGACCGTCGTTGCCTCCTATGAAGGGACGAGCAGTTACAACCGTAGTTTCTCCGGGAATCGAACCAGCGCCCATCGTTACTGCAGTCAAGTTCACTAGCCACTATACCGGCTTAGCGGCGTTGTAATATTGAACGAGCTGCACAATGAAATTTCCTCCTACAGATTTCAGTACCTTCAAAACTTTGCTGAAGGAGCGGAAATTATTCTCCCAGACTCCTTATTAGGTAGCCAGGTGAAAGAAATGCCGTTTTGATAATTGTAAGAGTCAGCGATGATCTCAGTCTTTCACAAGCCTGCATTTCGTTTCGAGATTTCTTTTCCTAAAACTCCATCATTATTTATTATTCCAAATATATTTGTTTCACAATTTCCTTATCCACTCAACTTTTATTTTAAATAAAGGATGCTATGTACCTCTTCTAATAATTTGATTCAACTTTAATCAACAGTTTTCGAAAAGTCATTTTTCTGAAAACACGCACACATACACCCATAGTATATATAGTAAAATAAGCTTGTAGTAGCTTTAAAGCTACATTTTTACATTATCACTCGATATATTAGTTCCGGACTCGTTTCCAATCAGTATGACAAATGAAATAAGTACAAATGAAAAATAAAAAAACTGTTGAAAAATAAAAATATTTGATGTGGACAAAACATGAGTTGTACGGTCTGTGAAACTATATGTGTTTTTGCTGCATTTCATTTAAACTTTATTTCTTCGAATTTCATTAGAGGTATATTCCTCATTCAATTAATTCGGCAAGGCAAAGATACATAAAACTCGAAGCATCTTACTTAAAAATTGTAAAATACAGAAAAACATAAAACACCAAATTCAATTGAGAAAGCAATTTTTACAATTAAAATTAAAGTTTCTACGCAAAAACAATCAATTAGGCCAGCAGACAAGAAGGCAGATTTTTCGGTGCATAAAACTGAAAGTTTACTTTTGTTTCCATTCGGCGAGAAGACACCGAAGGCACAGAAACTAACTTAATTCACTATCCTACTAAGAGTTTTCAAACGTAAACAAATCGCAGTTCCGTTAGGCTTAGTGGAACTTAAACGACTTTTAAATTGTTGACAATTCTACAACTATCGCTCGCAAATCAATATATTTTATCACTTTTAAAGCAAAAAAATGCACCATTTACCAACATATAAGAATAAGAAAGCTGAGCTCACCGAGGCGGCTAACGGAGCGAGTGCATATTGCAACGTATTTTGGAGTATTTAACGAAATAACAGATGAGCTCCTTAGGAAAATATAAATTTTATTCTCAGTTCACGGAGATAGATAATTTAAAATACAATTTTATCCGCTACAATATCATACTCTAGCTTACTTTTACTATTTCTTTCTTGATAAATTTTTAATCCTCTACTACTGGTAAGACGTTTCGAATAATAATTTTTAAACACTATCTGACGTTGCTTAGCAACAGTTTCAGAATATAAATATGGCGTTTCCACTCCAATATCAAGGATAATAAATGTAATTATTTGTTAAATAATGAAATATTGCAATATATATATTTTGGTGCGGCCGATTGCAACTAAAACGGGAAGTGCTCAAATAAATGTTATAGCAGTCTCATGTACAGAATTACAACGTTTTGAGGCTACTAGTTTTAGAGTTATGTGAGATACATACATGCATGCGTACGTACGTATAGAAGTCACGAAATAATCTCTTCTGAATCCATTTTGGATTCCTTTTGCAATTTGAATTGGGAAAAGGAATATTTTATTCTCTTTGTACTATGAAAAAAAAAAAAAAAAAAAAAAAAATCATTCAAAGGGATTCGAGAGCGGTCAAAATAGATATTTTCTTTGAAATTTGATACCCGAAATTTTTCGCGATTACAATACTTCCTTTACTTCATAGAAGGAAGTAATTAGCGATTCATTTCCGAAAACTGAAACAGCATAATCTGAAAAGAAAAATAATGATATCTATATCGATATTCTCAGTTTGTATATTTTAGGAAACTAATATGTCAAAAGTGATACGCCGCTACGAATATTTGACTGTTGTTTCGTGCTGTCCTTTCAAGACTCCTACATCTACACTCCCTTTAAAACACCCATATTTAGTTAGGGCGTTGTCACATTCCGGCGTTCTTATTTATGAGATGATGAAGAACATTGCCCAGCTCTGTGAGTTATACTTGTGTTTCTTAAAACGGATTCGCGCTCATTAGTCTTTGTACAAAGTATGCCATTAAAGCTATTTTGGAAACTAACTATTAAGTACTGAAAGGTTTTGTCGGTCAAAGTTTTAATATTCTCAAAATTCGTTATAATTATGCATTCTCATCAACGATTTTGTGTACAATAAATGACATAAGTTATAATACCATAAGATTATAAAATAAAGCTATCTGTAACGTTCATGAACCTCCCACCCGCGCGTCATTACGAGATTCTGAGTTTATGTAAATTAAGGTATCATTAAAGGAACGCTGTTAAGCTATATGTCAGTATAAAAAAGTTAAGAAAACAACGCATGTTAAGTGAATATTCATTGCACTTGTTTAAAAAACCGTAATTGATAATCGACTCCATGTGAAACTCCTCTTGCAAAATTCCAACCGTCAAAGTTGGTTTTATTATGGCAAA